AATTATATGGTCAATGTGAGTTGAAGATGTTGCTGTACCTCTAGTACTACTTGGACATCATTATTGTCCAATAACTTGTTAGGTTGCTGTACATATACAGGTTTGTAAAGATTTGTAATATCATGACATACAATGTTCCTGACATCCATATAGTAGATTGGAAACAAGTATGGTAATTTAATAATACATGGCAGATTCCATCCCATTGCATTAGATGTAACATATCCACACAATCTTGTAAATCAGGATTCTTGTTTTAATAGGAATACATTTCTTCTAATCCAGAAGCTCCCATCCTATTACTTGCGATGTAATATATCCATAATATTGTATTTTGACTGTAACAACCATTTGGTTTCATCCAGCAGTTAACATGGCGTCATTCACATCCGTCAGAATTGCAAAACTATAGAGAAAATAATTGGTAGCAGGAGATATTAGGCACCACAGAATAAGCAATTCCAGCTTTTAGTTTATGCATGCAGGGGGGATGGGAAGTAAGGTATCATATTGCTGATTATGCTGGAAAATAAAAATGATGGCCGTGTAAACACGGAGTGATAGCTCATACTTGTAAATATTGAAATATTGAAATTTTTCAGCATAATCAGAAATATGATACCTTATTTCCCATCACCCCCTGCTTGCATAAATTAAAAGCTGGGATTGGTTATTGTGCTCTACCCCAATGGATAGATCAGTGTTACTTTTTGCCACAGTGGGTAGATCAGTGATACCGGCTTTTTGCCTCAACAGGTTCTACCACAAATGGGTAGTTCAATGTCATTTTTTGCCTGAATGGGCTCTACCACAATGGGTAGTCGAATGTTATTTTGTGCCTTAATGGCTCGACCATAATGGGCAGATCAATATGTTATTTTGTGCCTCAATGGGCCCGACCACAATGGGTAGTCAAATTATATTTTGTGCCTCAATGGGCTCCACCATAATAGGTAGACTGTTTTTATTTTGTCCTACCACAATGGGTAGACTGTTATTGTTCTGTCGTACCACCATGGTGGGTACACTGCATGTTACTGTTTTGTCGTACCACCATGGGTAGTTCAATGTTATTTTGTACATCAAATGGATCCACAGGTGTTGTAGTTGTATTCGCATGTACTACACATATCTCGTATTAAGAAACCATGTTCGTACAACTTGAAACACTGACAACTTTAGGTAAAGTTACATACAGATAAGACAAGAAAGCCATATATTATCCAGAGCTTGCAATTGCATTTTGTCTCATTGTATTAATAAGACATTATTCAATGTTGTTTTTGATCAATCGATCAATGCCAGTGGGATATTTTAGGCAGTTAAAACTGCCGATATTAACTCATAAAAGCACATTGTTTGCCTCTAGATTGAACACTAAAAAGGTCATCGCCTTGTTGTATTTAGTACTTACCTGAATTTTTCCGAATATTTTCGATCTCTTGCATCCGTATTTAAAAGCTTGAAAAATCTTGAGCAAATGGGGATGCTAGCCTGCTCACAGACGTTGTAGTTCTTACGCCAAGCGACGAAATACTACCGTCTGCTTACCCGAACGCCAAACTGAATTCCGCTTCGTCGACCAATCAGAATTTACCTTCCATATTCTGGAAAGTGACGTCAGTTGATTTAGGAGCGGAATAAATATAAATATATATTTTGAAAGTTAAAGATACTGATACTTGTCCAGGTAATAAAATGCACCATTAATGGTCAGATTTGGATATTAAAGATGTTCGGTTATATTTAAAACGCGCACAGGATTGGCATATTTATACTGTATGAATCTTAGCCAGACAGCATCAAATGCCGAATATATTTCGCTGAAATTTTAACGGTTAATCTTTATATTAAATTAAATTAAATTATAGACAACAGAACTCTGAAGACATAAAATTTTATATAATACTGTGGCTTAGAAAGCGAAATATTAGCTTCAATGCAAACCAATTTGCTGTTTGAGCAACCACTTCTGAATGTAAACTGTAAACACAACATAAACCCGAGAAACTTGTATTAAAATTGCGCCGTGATGAATTTTCCAATTCGCCCAAACTTCGAAACGTTTATACTCTAACTTGGCTATACTTTTCTACATGACAATGAGAGCTTAATCTTTTAGAAGTTTTCGTCGAAGTCATGGCATATAGGAATAGGAAGTATCAAGAGCAACATTTGGACATATCCTGATATACTCGAGTTTCCCGATTGATTGTTTGTCATTGTTAACAAAAATTTAAATTTCGCCTACTGCATTGCTTTAGCACTTTATATACACCGATTGTTTGCTGAACATGCGAGAAGATGATCACAATATTATTCTACGTAGACATCGTGAAGTTCAACGCTATAGTTTCCAAAATATATCCACGCAAGTAAACAAATTTCAAGTTTCAACACAAACAATATATTCCAATGCATGTGCAAGGGGTTTCCCCTGTAGCTAATCTCTCAATAAGGCGGCTTCCAATTGGCTCTAACTTTTTTGAACACTGCCAGATGATTGGCTCCTAAAACAAAGGGAATTGCATATGCAGCTCGGGTAAGCAGACGGTAGTATTTCGTCGCTTGGCGTATGAACTACAACGTCTGTGAGCAGGCTAATGGGGATGCGTGCGCAATACAAAATCTTGTTTTGACCCCTCCCCTCATCTAACAAACGTTCCTGAAGCTTAATTAGCCCCCCTGATTGCGATATCTTTACAGACAGACACAAGATCTCGATCTCGACAATACATAGATCGCGCGAAAGACTGGGTCGAGTGGACTCTGGAGAAACCACCACGTGTCAAGAATAGTGTGCTGTCTCGCTGCGCTTATTACTTTTTGTAATTATTACTTTTTGTTTATCAACAAGTAATAATTGTCCAAAAATACGCATCTAAATCGTGAATTTTCAATTTTTTTTAAAACTGTATTGAGCCAAATTAAGGAAGCATTTGTTTCCGAACAAACTCCTTCCCCAAAAACCGACGTCTGCTATGGTGGCGGTGCTAAACTTGGCACGGACACCGCAATTTTGCAACAGGGGACAGGTTCAATAGCCCCAGCGAGTTAATGCTCTCTCAAGCGTCTTGTTCAGATTAAAGCCGGTTTCCCACTTGCGAAATTTTTCGCGAGAAGCGAATTTTTCTTTTGTCTTTATCCAATTAGTTCCAGATGGTTCCAGTCGAGAGACCAAAGACAAAAGCAAATAGTCGCCTCGCGCGAAATAATTCGTTAGTGGAACACCGGCTTAAAGCCTGTTTTCCACTAGCGAATTTCTTCGCGCGAAGCGAATTTTCTATTGTTTAAATTGAAAAGAATTGTTTAAAAATCTAATTAGTTTCAGCCGAGAGCTCATAATACAAAAGATTCGCGCAAACAAATTCGCTAGTGGAAAACAGGCTTAAGTATATCTACACGGGCGGCCAAATAATAATTCGTTGCTCACACTTTTGTCTTTTGTCCATGCTAGTTGGGCCTAAATTAACAACAAAAACGTTTAAAAACAACCATTTCGTAGCTATATGGCCATATACATATTTTGAGTCGGGTAGTTCTTGAATTGGGGTGTAAAACACAAAGCAATACTGTCCATGATCAAGTCTTTCGCATTCGTGATATAGATTTCTCTCTAGGCTCTTGATTGTTTCAGTTATCGTACGGCAGTTTAACGAAACGAAGTTGATAAGTTCATTATCTTGAACACGAATTGGCCGCTCGGAGAAATACTTTGGAAAATGATTGCTTTGGTGTTGACGAGGTCGGTAAACAATAGCCGAGACCTTGCCCTTGGGGTTGCCATAATCTACAGATATATTTACATAAATATTATTACCGTGATTTTGACACTTTAATAATCGCCGTTTTGGGCTATTAGTAAAACACGGAGCACACGGAACACGGAGAACTCCAAGCACGGAGCAGTAGAAAAACCACAATCCTTTATGATAAACGACATTGTTTATTATTACAAACTTTATTATTATTAATAAAGTTTTTCGCGTTGTACATGTTAGGGAAGTAAGAAAATGGGTATTTTAAAACACATCTCGTACTGACAGGAAAAATCGTAGCCGTCGCCCATATCTGAATACGAAATTTTGGAGAAATCTCATAGTCCTCACAACGACTTTTTAAAAACCAAAGAGTTGATATTTTATCTGATATAGAGTTGATATATTAGCGCTGTTGGGTGTTAATATAGCGCTCTTTGAGATCGGGAAGCCACGAATTTCCACACAACTGTATTACAGCATACGAAAGACTTTTTATACTTCTGATAGTGGAAATAAGTCATGAATAAGTGGGGTCAAAAACAAGTAGATAAAGTTATTTAGTATTAATTACATAAAGTATTGGTTATTTGGTCAAAACTATAGTCTATTCTTAAACTTATTTATAGGTCTTAAAAAGTTATTCATTATAAACAGCAGAAAATAAAGATACAAGTTTAATAACAGGAATAACTTATCGCTTGCCTCGCTGGAACCTGGCCAGTTCTTAAATTGAACTTCCCTGCCGGAAACTGATTTGACTTCCCTGATGAAGCATATATTCTAGAATACTTCAAGAGACCACAAGCGTCCAAAAGTATTTGACCTTGAATGATAGATGAATATCTGTCAATGGAAAAATTGAATAGGATTGGACTCTATGGAAGATCAAAAGGATCTAACAAACCCTTTTTGAAACGAGAAACTGGCGGAATATTACGTATGGATGGATGTAACTGATTCCACGTTTTGGTAACAGATGGAAAAAAAAATTTGAAACGTTCAGTGCGTACCGAATATAATGTAAAATCAGCTTACGATCTCAAAGAATAACGAGTTCGCTCACACCACAATAAGATCCTTGACCTTGTAGGTTTAATGAATAATGAATATTGAGTTCGTTCACGACCACAATAAGACCCTTGACCTTGTAGGTTTGCATGATAAAAATAAATATAATTGTTTTCTATTTTTGTGATGTTGTCTTTGAGTGTCCACACCGGGGAAGCTGAGAAGTTTGCTTGACCGCGATGGGAATCGAACCCGCAACGGCGCGACCTTTGGTTTACTAGTCCAATAGCCCAATGCTCGACCAACTGAGCCTCGAGGTTCGAGTGGGTGATAGTTTTGTTTTGCCAGGATACGTTTATTTGTTTGCCTCGGCTTTGAAGAAGCTAGGTTTCGATCCAAGTGACCAAGTCCGGTATTCCGAATTGGTACTATAATAATTACACTGGTGAAAACCCATGCAGACTTACGGATCGAGAGTAGCAACGCAAAATAAACGCGATATTTCCACAAAGACCAACGCGAACAATTATATAATTTCCGTTATCGAATCAAACAAGGAACTAACGAGTAGCACATATACATAATTTGACTTGGCTTTTACGAAATCGAATATTTTTAATGTTCACGAAATTAAATGTTCATGGAATTAAAGTGTTGCAATCTATATTTGAAATAGTTGAGTGTGTTTGTGCCACAATGACAAATGTCTTTTATGTGTGTCTTTCTGTACCTCGGACGTATATGAGAGTTCTTTGAAAGTTTTTGACTCAACCAAACACACTTGACCTCCAAGGAGAACAGTTTAGAACTGATAGAGCTATCCCGCACCATAACTATGATATAGTTGTTCTACCGTTGTTAACACTGAACTGACCACTATCGGTGAGAACAGCAGTTCCTGCAGCACCGAAAAAGCTATAGCTATCCATGATATCCAGTATCAACAACATCGATTGCTAGTACTAACTGCAACCTTATGTCAGTTTAGGTTTCCTTCTGCATGTTGCAACACTGTAATTATAAAAATATTAAGTGATTACCCTTACTGGACCTCTGGGAGAACACTGACAGAGTTATCCAGAATACAACTGAAGTTAGTTTCAATTTCCGTAAAACAGTTTGAGTATACAGTAGCTTATGCGTTGCCATGGTTGCGCACAAGACTTCAGAAATAGTGTCTATACAAAATGTTATAGTTTGACCAATCATTGTCGATTTTGACATACAGTACGAACAATGACTATTTTTCCGTACCTTAATTAAACGGAAAACATTGATATTCGTTTCAACACCTTATAAGCCTTAAAATGATATACATGTAGTATAAAAGGCTCGCACATATTTGATCTAATAGAAACTTTTCTGTGAAACATGTCTCGCTGCAGTATTTATATGTCCACTTTAGCAGACTCAAATAGAACACGATATCTCTCCAAAGAATTTCAATACTGCACGTATAACTATAACTACAATTGCGAGGTTGTGGGGGAGTTGATTTTTTTTGCCGCCCTCTTTCTGAACAAAGAAAATTAGAAACAAAATACTTAAGTTAAAATTACATAGACATTCACGCAGGCAGTTACTCCGAAGCTAAAAATATTTTAAAGTTTCAAACTTTGGAAATATTTCGATTTGCCCCAAGTTGGCGATAAAAAGATATTGTGCTTTTTAAAGATAATTATTTGGTTATCTTGATACCATTGTATAAGATCACAATAATATGCTTGACCTGCTAGGTTTGCATGGTAAAAATAAATAATATTATAATTGTTATATAGCTAGCGTGAACACCAAACGTGATTGGCTGATTTGTGGTCACGTGACTTCAGATAAATGCAATGTTTCCCGCCGGGCAACAAGTAAAAAATTGTTCCCCGCCCCGACCGGCCACGTACATAAATAAACAAAATGGAGGCACAACTCGGATAATTAGCTAGAAACTACGATTTTCCAAGTTTGTGTTAAAATAAAGAATATAAAAGAGAAGAAAAATACACAACAGGAACAGTGTATGCTGCTGAAACCGTTTAAGTAGGTTCTTTTAATTTTAAACTCGTTTACACTATAGAGTTTTCGTCACGAAATACAATTGTTGTATGAATGTTGTTGAAGTTGACTTTTGTTCGTTGCTATATGTATGCATTGTTTTAATTAGGCACAGAGGTGAAAATATGCGATTTTGACTAACATTTTTAATCGGCCTCGTACATGCTTATTTTTTCTCCACTTGTCATGAAAAGCATTTCATTCAATAGCTAAAAGCCTGATCTTTCCAAATATGAAAACTAATTGTTCATACGCCAAGTAATTCACGTATAATAGCGAGCTGAAGTTCGATTACCTTTTTCTTGATACACCCTATAACAAAACACTTAAGGCCTGTTCCCTCGGGAAATAGTTAGTTTTGTTTTCCCTCGACTTCGTCTCGGGAAACATTGAGATTTTTGGGAAAACAAAACTATTTCCCTCGGGAGCAGACATTAGCCTAAGTGTATATTGTTTTCTATTGCCGGCGTACGTTTATTTATTTCCCTCGGCTTTGGCGAAGCTAGGTTTCGCGAAGCTATAGCTTTCGATCCAAGTCCGGTCCGCATTGGTGCTATAATATTTGCACTGGTGAAGACCCATGCAGACTTACGAATCGAGAACTACAGGGTGTATAAAAAAAAGCGCAATCCTCGACTGAAATGTAAATTGCTAAACAAATAATAGACGAAAACGTTAAAGATTACATTCATTTTGAAGCGTAGCCATTCAGCTTTCTAACTGTGGGTTGTTTCTTAAATTTGACTCATTGGTTCGCGGCTAATAATACTTTACGTTATTGCGATTGGAGATTAAAAAAATTGAGATGGAATAACAAA